CTGTTTAAACAATTTTATAAAAATATGTTCCAGTCTGAAATAATAGGAAGAGCTATCAAGAATAACAAGTGTTAATTTAATTTGGGAAAAAGATATTTTAATATAGATTTTTTAATAATATTTTAACAAAACCCACATATTATTTTTTATTAATTTATTATTATACTAAAATATTTTAAATCTAATAAAAAAATAACACAAAGTTAAAATGTTATAAAGAAAATCCGTGTATGATTATCCTTTAATTTATTCTTAATGTTTTCCTTCTTAAAATTTTTTCAAAATCAAAGTGAACGAAGAAAATAGCGAAATTGATTCAGGATCGAAATTCCTTTTGAATATTAGCATTCTCTTTCGTTTTCACTGCTACTTGGTATTTCCATGCTCAGTGTTTACACGGTTGGTGTTGCCAAGCATATGTTCATCAGCTTCCCCAGAAACCATCAAAATCGCTTGCAGAAGTCACTCTTTTGTTGCATGTCCATGAATAATCAAAGGGAAGTTCAAAGTGAAACTGAAAGTCACGTGCATTATAACCATACCGATCCCTCCAAATACGCAAGATGGACTGCAAGGTATGCAACTTTCTTCTTTGTAATTGCATTTTCTGTTTTACATTTCTGTAATTTAACTGCAATTGATGTGTTGTGATGTTATCTGGGTTTCAGGGAGAGCTTCCAATTTATGTATGCAAGGCCTTGGCAACGAGTCAATGATTTTTACTTGGACATTGTCCGTGCCAACTTGTCTCTCTCACTTCTCTTCGGACCCCAGGTAGGCAATTTTGAAAATTTACTACTTGTAGTATCTGAACCCTAATTTCTGATTCTGATAGGTTCAGTGTAAAATGGAATGTTTGCAATCTTATGAATGGTTAGGGGTGTGTATGTGTGAGTACTGTCTTTAACCATTTATATGTTAATTCATGGCTTTCTATCAGACAATTCTTGACCACAATGACACTGGAATTGCAGCACTTTCTGATCAGAGTGAGTTGGAAAGTGTTGCATCTGAGGATCGCTCTGGGAGATGGGCGAGGAAGACGTTCAAAATAATTCTTTCGTATCACGGGGGTTCATTTGATGGGTGGCAAAAACAACCAGGCTTGAACACTGTCCAAAGGCAAGTTGCTCTTCTTACATTTACAGCTTCTGAAGTTTTGTGCCTATTGCAAATGGAACGTCTTACCATTAGTTGGATGGAGTACCTTTTAATAATAAAAAATTAAAAAAAAAATCATTTACGGCTTTTGTCACATATAAGATGCCTTTAACAACTAGCTTTCTCTTTTTGTATTTTGTTGCCTGTGTATATAAAATATCCATGAATATTAGTTGATCTTTAGAATGCATATTGAGATAGGTACGTGACACAATTGAACATGGTAAAAGTGTTTCCTTGTCTTCTCCTTTACTGCTTCATGCTCGCCATCAGTTTATCTTTTTATTGGATGATAATTCTGCTTCTTGCTCTTGTACTCATTTGTTCACACAGCATTGTAGAAGTGTCACTTGGTAAATTTGTTGATGAAAAGAACACACAACTGCTCAAGAGAAAGGTTTGCCTATTGAAGGTTGTGCTGTTGTTGCTGGTCGTACAGACAAAGGTGTGACAGGCCTTCAACAAGTCTGTTCTTTCTGTAAGTAAATTCTCTGTTATGAGCAATTATTTTCCCGTGTCCAAGACTTTGTAAACATGAACTGTCGCACACTCTCATTTCAGTATGCAAGAACTAAGAAGATAAATCTGGAGGCCCAAAGGATTTCCTATAAAGTGCAGTATTTTGTGTCTAAGTTGTGTGTACTATTTGAAACCTCATGTGTATGCACTTATAGTGTACAAATAGCAGCAGGCATTTTTTTGATTTGTAAATTTCTTACATCAAATATGTTAATATCTGACTTCATTTGATACTGTCTCTTTGATGCCTAGATGTCTATGATGTCTTTGGTTGGTTAAATTTAACATTCACATGTCCTTACTCAAAACGTGTTGTTGCTGAACAAGCGGCATCTGGGACCACCAAAAGGACTACTGAGTGTGATTCTGTTCTTCGTCCAATCTGATTGGGTACTTTCTGCCTTGGTCTGGCAGAATTTTATTGGATTGCTTGTTTCCTCACAGTGGGTTCCAGTGATATGGGAAACTCTTTGTACGCTGTGTGAACTTGGATGGTTAGGTTACTCTGTTTTCTAGAGGCAAAATAAATCATAGTTGAAACTAGAGATACTCTTTTTTACTTTTTTCTGTGAAGATTTAAATTTTTGTGGAAATTTCTTCTGCTTGATATGGTTCTTGTAAGTCTGTTGTCTACAGTATGGATAGTTCTTTATAGGTTATGCGAGATCTATTAATTTGTTCTTTAATGAATACCAAGCTTGGACGCACGTCCAAGTGCACCAGAACTTAACTGAAACCATAAAGGAAGAAAGAAAGAAGTTTCTCACCTGCATCAAGTCAACGGTAGACAGGGACTATAAGACCTTGATTGAATCATTTATAACATAAATACAACTAATGCCTGATATCGAATTTTGAAAGGACCAAAGAAATCCTTTCTTAAATTTTTCAGTGATATCATGTTCTTTATGTATAGAAGTAAGAAGAACACTGAAAAATTCTTGCATTGGCACAATTTAAAGGATTATAGGAAATAGCGCTAATCATGCTGAGCCATATTTTCAATGTATTAAATTAGTATTAAGCCATGTAAGGAAAGAAAACTTTCGGAAGTTACATGATCTTTTTCCGAAATAGTGAGGCATGCAGGGTAGTGGGTGAGTGGGTTTCTTTCTAGCATGCTTTGGCTTGGTTAAGCTTTTTTGTGTTTGCTTGCCCGTGATCTACTAGTGTTCATTATACACAGATACTTGGAAGAAGGGAGTTACGCCAGAGATATTGAAGATGCTTACCTCAAAGCAGCCTCTAGGAACCTTAGAGAGAAGTCCGTATCAGTTTTCTGAGGTAATATCCTTTTTGGGAAATCTGCAATGTGAAGCTAATATTTGATATCATTTGCTTGAATCCAAATTGTTAGATATAATTATATCTTTTATCTTTTAGTTAGTTTGTTTATTATTTCTCTTTGTATTTTGGGCTTAGCCCATAATTTCTTCTATATTAATAGAGAACCCTATTATGTATTTTACACAAGGGAGATTAATCTAAATATAGTTTTTTTCCACTATATTCAACATGGTATCAGAGCAGGTTCTCTGATCTTCTTCCAGGGTCTCTGCTGTCTGCCGGCGGCCGGCAGCCCCTAAAATCTCATTGGGCAGTCCATTTTTCTTCTTAAATCTCTGCCACAGTCAGCACCCATCCATCATTGATGAGGATTTAGTGTAGTCCCTGCAGTTTTGTAGTCTCTTAACTTTCATCAGCACCCACTGTTGATCCCCCCCGTCACTCATCCATCTTGATTGGGAATCAGTCCTTGTAGTTTGTCATTGTCCCCACTGCCTTCTTCACATCCCACTTTTGAAGTGAAGTTTCACAAGCTCGGTTTTAGTCCATCTATGGTTTTGCCTCACACTCTTGAAAGACAAATCATCTAGTTCAATACTGAGTTCTCTATTCCAAGCTTAGTTCATACAATTTGTTAAATGATCCAGCTTGAGGGGGAGTGTTAGATTTTAAAAAAAATATTAGATCTTTTATCTTTAGTTAGTTGTTATATTTCTCATTTGTCTTTTTGGGCTTGCCCATATTTCTTCTATTATAATAGAGAACCCTATGTAGTTTATTTTTACACAAGGTAGATTTATCTAAATATAGGTTTTTCACATATTCAACACATCAACACAAATGAAAAAGAAACCAAGCGAAAACAGGCTTGCTGAATGAGTTCTTTGTTGTTCATATCTTGATGGATAGTTATCTTATAAGATATGACTTATTGTAGGTATCACGCTCATTTATCCGAATTTTCTCTGCCAATGGAGGCGTTACCTTTTATATATTTCCACTCACTGGGGTACAGGGACCAAGGTAATGACAATGTGGATCACGTGACATTTCTAGATATATGAATTCATGATTTCTTCCAGAAAAGGACGAGATAGAAAATCAAGAGAAATCTTATGTCTTCAGCATAAGCAGGTAAACCGCCTTTGCGAAAATTAAAGGAAAATTGCTATCCTACAAGATGTTTGCTCGTGATACAAAAGCTTCAAGAAATGAGTAAGAGCTTAATCCTTGAATTTCCAACACAGCTCACTTCATCATCTCATTCGTCTTCAGTGCACATTATAGAAACTACCACATAATATTTTGGGGAGGGTGGCAAAACTTAATGGTCGTGTAACTATTATTTGGCATTGAGTCTTAAATTTTTTTTATTGTTTCGGATGAATCATACTTAAGTTGTAGCTTTTAGTCCGTGAGAACTTTTCAATCTAACATCAAAGCCTTTATAGCCAAGATCTCTAGCATTCCAATTCTTGCTTTTTTCTCATTCTTATAAATAAGTCTCATTTCAAGCAACTAAGTGGTGGGTTATGTATTGTCCATGTACAGGTTGAAAGGGCTCTTGCAGAGGGAGCCTGTTATAAATATAATATAAAAGCATTCACGTGTCTTCCCTCAAAAGTTTAAGCTTGTTGATTGTTTGTTTCAATGAGACGACTTACATCTTTTGCTGGGTTTTGTATAACTGTGATTAGGGAGAAGCCTTCGGAATGGTACATTAGAGGTGGCATTAACAATGGTGATTTGATCGTTGATTCCTACAAATATATGAGAGTGGATAAGATGAAATTGAACCCCAACAACATATCCATACTAAATTTTCATTGAAAGTGTTTATCTTTGCTTTTGCCATTGATCACATTCATGCATACATGTTTATTTTCTGTCTTGCATTTTAAACCCCAATTATTCGTTTGTAAGTCTTAGTTCAATTAAGAAATCACATAACTAAACTAGGCGTGAGTCCTTTGGGAAGAACGATCCTTGGTCTTACCAGTTTTATTACTTGAACGATTCGGTCATACTTGCCGATTGAAAACAAGTTTGTGACATCATAATTTGGTGTTCATAAATTTGTCCATCACCCAGCTAGAGGATGATATGAAGCAGCGGAATGATGGATTGAACCGTGAACAGAGATGATGTTCGCACACGGAAATCAAATGGCAGCGGAAGACTTGGGTTTAGTGGAAGATTTTTGGTGGATGAAGAGCTTTCGGTGGTAAGTGGTACTAGCTCAGACCGCCTTCCATTCCTAGAAGGAAGCTAGAGGAGAGAAAGGGGAAGCTTAGGGATAGGTAACTTTTGAGCAAAGTTTGGGTGAGGGAAATGCTTGAGCAGAGTAAACTTTATATTCCTTCAAAAGTGTTTTACAAAGGATTGAAAAACCGTTATTTTTATACTTAATTTCGATAATCAATCAACCATTTTTAACATAGAAACTTGCTTTAACTCATGTTTTTGCTTTAGTTTTGTGAATATGAGAGTTGAAGGTGAATTTTATGGTTTTGTGCTAGATTCCTTTGATTTTTTTGGTTATTGGAATGATTTGAAAGAAGAGTTAAAGTACCGAATGGTTGGAATGCAGAAAAGTCAACCAAAAACCAGAAAAAGTCAACCAGTCACCAGAAAAGTCAACTAGTCAACCAAAAAGCAAAAAAGTCAACCAGAGTGCAGAAAAAGTTGCGCTAAGCGGTAATTACCGCTGAGCGCCACTTTTCAGGTGCCGAAATCACCGTTGATGGGCAAAAACAACAGCTGAGGGGCAAAATTGAAGACCCGCACTTACCGTTGAGCGGCATTTTAATGGGCCTTGGGCCACTTTTCTATAATTTTTAGAAAGCTATATAAGGTTTTAGTCAACCTAGGTTAGACATCTTTGGCTGGAACGAAGCAAAAACACACTCTTTCACCCCTTGGAGGAGGATTTTGGATGCTATAACTCCTTTCTCACCTTTCTAGGGTTTTATCTTTCACTCTTTCATTGTATTTCATCTAGTTTCACTATGAATATGGTGAACTAAACCTTTATTGTTGTTGGGGAATCAATGTAATCCTGTGAAACTCTCATGTATTGAATTTGTTCTTTAAGATCTTTATGATACATTCTTTCTTTCATTAAGCATGCATTGTTTAACTCATTCGATGTCATGATTATTGGTTTTGTCGATATGGACATATACGGGGAAATCTAGATCTGGGAATCTCTCCCAATAGTAGTATAAACATAGACATAGGAGTATGATGGTTGGTTGCCTTTAAGCTTCTGTTCTTTATAATGCATGAGTAATTGCTAGGGAGACAAGACATTGTAAACTAGTGATTATGATTAGGCTTTCTTCGACGAGACATCGAGTTTAAGGTAATTTAGAAAGTGACATTAACAATTAATGAAGAAAGATGAATTCTAGAATACATGAGAGTGGATAGGATTAAATTGATAAACCCCAACAACATATTCATTCATATATTTCAAACCACGTGTTCTGTTTCTTCTTGCCCATTGATCAATACATGCATTCATATTTACTTTTCAGTATTTTTCATTTAAAACTTACAAGAATTGGTTCTACAAGTCTTAGATAATCAACAAATCACATAACTGTCTAGGTCGTGAGTCCTTTGGGAGAACAATACTTGGTCTTACCAGTTTTATTACTTGATACGATTCGGTTACACTTGCCGAGGGTTAAACAACGTCGTCGCAATTGAGACTCCATCATCGTTGCCCTGCCTTCTCCCTCCCGAAGACTCTTTGGATGATGATAAATTCACAGTAGCCATTATTCTTACCTTAGGTATGTGTAAGTTGAACGTTGTGCTCTAAAGTTATTGCTGGAAAAGTAAAATGACGCAATGGGCCTACCACATTTATAGGTATTAAATTGCAGAGTGAGAACCAACATTGGCCGTAGGATGAAGTTTGATCCAGCGAATACGTTTGGACGACTTTGTATCTTCTAACAGCGCGGGAAAAGAAAAAAACCAATCCACGGTGCAAAATTGTCATCCCTACCATTTCCCTAGACGCAGGAACAATTTATTTTCTTAAATAATAATAAGGGTAAAACTTCCAAGGTCAGCGAGTTTAAAACGGTTAAAAGTCCTGTCGCCAACTATTGTTGTCTCGGACTTGGGGGCATGTGTATGGTATAATATGTGATATGTTCGGTAGGCCATGCGATAAGGCATCACTGAACGTGAACATGATGCATTAACTGAACGGTGTGGGAAAGATACACATGTCGTTCGGTAAATTCGTTGTAAATTATAAGTGAAACAAGTAAAACGGGCCAATAGGTGTTGGGCTACAATTGGACCAACACGGACATTAGTGTTATTGGACTAATATTAACTTAAAGTGTTGGGCTACAACTGGGCTAACACTGACATTGGTGTTATTGGACTAATATTAACTTAAGGTCCATGATAAATTTATAAATATAGAGGTAAGCTACATATGTAAGGTTAGCTTAATTGAGTTCTGATACTTAATTGTGAATTAAGTTCATTGATTAAAATATGACTTGAGTGTCAGAGTGTCTTTAGCAGGTACCCACTGTTCGGTTTGGACTTAAAGGAATCAAATCAAGTGGTCTCGAAGGAAGAAAGAAGAGAATGTAAAAACGGAAATGTGTGTTCCTTGGTCCTACTCACTTATATACAGAAACAAATATAATTAAAATTTTTTAAAACGCAATTTGTTTTTATTAAATTTTGTATGTGTTACTTTAAACTTAAACAACCATAGAATTTTATTAAGAAATGTAAAAGAAAATACACACTTAATAGAATATAATTTTTTTAACAAAATTCAATAAAAAAATACTTACAATTACAAAAAATTTCAAACTTAACTAAATCATTTTCATTATCTATGTAAAATCACGTAATTACAAAATTAAATAACAAATACTCAATTAAAAATATACCAAAATCTTAAATACTTAATAAAAATTAAAAATTTACTAAAAGTTTAATTAAAAATATCCCCAATAAACCTAAGTTAAACTTTAATAATATTTTGAATTTGTTAAGAAGTATAATTTCCATTTTCCAATTCTTAACATCTAAGTAAAAGAGGAACGCGCTAAGTAACCACGACGAAGCTTTCACCTTAGACTTTCTCGACAAAATCGTGGTTGACAGTGAAAACAAAAGCAACAAATAACGTGTTATCAGTGACACGTGTCAAATCAACAGAAACCGAGGATAACAATGACGCAAAGAATCCCCTCTCTACTCTTAAGTCGTAACTGCATAAAAGGAGAAGGCACGAAGATCTTCTCAGTTCATCCAAGAGAGAGATAATGGCAACACTTGGTGGCAATCGTAATGTCGCAGGAAGCCAGAACAGCGTTGAGATCGATAGTTTAGCTCGATTTGCTGTTGGAGAACACAACAAAAAACAGGTTTTTCTTTTTCCTTTCACACACCCTTTATTTTATTTTTTTCCTTCAAAAAGATTAAAGAAATTTGTACCATTCATTATGTTTTGCTCGGTGTCTGTATGCTTCTCGAGAAATTCCCAAATTTTCTGTTGATTTCCTATTGGGTCTGGTCGTTGATCGGTTTCGGCCATGCCAAGGTTTCTTCGGAGATTCACATGTTTGATTATATTATCTCTTTTGTTTGATGAACAATAATTGTTAACTTTTGGATTTTTCTTGTGGGGATAATGGGGTTCTTCTGTTGTGGGATTGATTATTTATAGCACATGCCCTGTTTGTTCTGAGGTAGAGTTTTCTAAGAAGAGAATGTTAAAGATAATTTTGTGAATATACTCAGTGTTATTAGCTTAAATTTATTGTAAATTGCTAAATTTTCTAAGTTTTGTTTCTTATATATAGTATCAGACATGATTTTAATAACTTCCAAAAAATTTAATCAGTAATTGAGAGTAACTTAGAAGGAAAATATTTCAGAGTGTGTTGGCAGATCTATTTGGAAAAATACGCCAATATTTGCCTAACAAAGTATCTTCTACCGAACATGCACTTTGCCTCAGTATGGTATGGTGCAAAGCGAGTGAGAGAGAGAGGAAGGTTATGATGCAAATATTTGTCATTTGGAGCTTGTGGAAGCCCATAATCCACTATCAGAAGCCATAATTGATTATTGATTGTCAGGATAAAATCTGCATTTATAGTATGTCAGTGAATAAATGGTTTTGTGGCGCGAATTTTAACAACAAAGTTTGACATTTTGTTCTTTGTAGTAGTAGAAATGCAAACTGGTGTCTATTTTTATTTTGTTTTTATTGATTGGTGATGGCTATATGCAGAACGCCCTTCTGGAGTTTGGAAGGGTGGTAAGTGCACAACAGCAAGTAGTTTCTGGTACCTTGTACACCATCACTTTGGAGGCAAAAGATGGTGGGCAAAAGAAGGTTTATGAAGCCAAAGTCTGGGAGAAGCCATGGTTGAACTTCAAGGAGCTGCAAGAGTTCAAACTTGTTGGAGATGCACCTGCATAGTGTGCTTAGCTGGTACGTGTTTGATAACATTGGTACACAATTTCTTCTGTCTGATTTTAAGTATGAATGGTTTATTGATGAATGCAAACCTTCAATAGTATTAACATCTTTTATACTCAAAAACTGGATCAGAAACTGAGTTTGGAATCTATAGGGGACTAAGTGGGTTGAGGAAGTTCAAAGAACTAGAACTTGAAGTCTGAATCAGTTTCTGATTTACACCCAAGAGTTTTTATGTCAATACAGAGTGTTAGGAGGTTAAGAGTGTATGAAAGAAGAAAGAAACATTAGTTAGCCTAACTGCCTTGGCAGTTAGGAAAGGCGGGAAGGGGTTGTATAAATAGGTCTTATATAATTGTAAGGGGGGGTCTTTGGATCAAGTATTAGTCTGACAGGAATTCTTTAATCCTGTAAGGGGGGAGGTTAAGCTCTCATCATTCGTTGTACTTTGTATTCTTTGCTGTTGATAATACGAAGATAGTGATAGAGGATTAAAAGTATATGTAAGAAGGAATAAAAAAGGCGGGAAGTAAAGAAGTCAGTTAGGAGTTTGTTAGAAGTATATGAGAGTATAAATAAAGAGTTTGTTGAGAAGGGCGGGAGAGGAATGTTTTTGTATTGTTTAGTGTGGGAGGGGGGAAGATTAGGCTTCCTTGATAGCTGTGGGAACAATTGTATTCTTTGATTCACTAAATACAATCAGAGGTTATTCACTGTGTTGAGTTTGTCTGGTGTGTGTTTCTGATGGACAAATTTATGAACACCAAATTATGATGTCACAAACTTGTTTTCAATCGGCAAGTATGACCGAATCGTTCAAGTAATAAACTTGGTTAGACCAAGTATCGTTCTTCCCAAAGGACTCACGGCCTAGTTTAGTTATGTGGTTTCTTGATTAACTAAGACTTACAAACGAAATATTTGGGGTTTAAAATGCAAGACAGAAAATAAACATGTATGCATGAATTTTGATCAATGGCAAAAAGCAAAAGATAAACACTTTCAATGAAATATAGATATGAATATGTTGTTGGGGGTCAATTTCATCTTATCCACTCTCATATATTTTTAGGAATTCAACAGTCAAATCATCATTGTTAATGCCACTCTCTAATGTACCTTTCCAGAAGGCTTCTCCCTAATCACGAGTTCATACAATTCCTAGCATTCCTAATGATCAGTTCATAAGTGCAGGAGCTTAATGACAACCAATATAAAATTGGGAGAAATTCCCCGGATCTAGACTTCCCCGTACGTGCCCGTATCGACAAAACCAATAATCATGCATCGAATGAGTTAAACAATGCAAGCATTAAGCAAAGAGGAAAAACCCTAACTAATGAAGAAAAGAAAGCATAAGTCTTAATTAAAAGATGTAAAAACAGATTCCATATATGAGAGTTTCACAAGATTACATTGATTCCCCAACAAACATACAGAGTTTAGTTCACCATATTCATGGTGAACCTAGATGAATTACAATGAAAGAATGAAAGAATAAACCCTAAAAAGGTGAAGAGGAAGCCTCAGCATCCAAGATCCTCCTTCAAAGGGGTGGAAGAGAGAGTGTTTGCCTCGTTCCAGCCAAAGATGCCTAACCCTAGGAAACCCTAAAGCTTATATATCATTCGTAAATTACAAAAAGTCAAGTCCAAGCCCATTAAAGTGCCGCTCAGCGGTAAAATACCGCTCAGCGGTGAGTGCGTGACTTGTTTGCTCCCCTCAGCGGCCATTTTGCCCCTCAGCGGACCTCCCGCAAGCTCCTGAGTGCCGCTCAGCGGTAAACTGCCGCTGAGCGGTGACTTCGGCTTCTCCTTTTGCACTTTTTATTGTCTTTTCTGATTTCATCTCTCTCTTTCTTCACTTCTTTCACCAAATTCACCTTAAAACCTGCACAAAAACACTGAAATCAAGCATAAACCTGTCCAGCTCTCTTATTTCTAAAAATATGAAGAAAAGCATGATTTCAAGCTAGTTTCTAAGTGTAAAGGTTGCTTTTAGTGTCAATTTTAATCATGAAAATAACAGTTTTTCAACTGTTATCAGTTTCTACTCATTTTCTTGACTTCTTGATTAAAGAAGTCTATCAGAGAGGTTATACAGTATTTCTGTTGAGTTTGTCTGGGTGTGTTGGTGTGAGTTTCTATAGGTTTCTTGACCAGAAACCTATCAATTGGTCCAACCTGCCGGATCAAGAGGGCGTGTGAAGAAAAAGGAGGGAACCATGGAGGGAAGACTGGACGCGCTGGAAATCACAATGGAGGGGATGAAGGTGGAGTCCGCCGCTGTGCAACAAGATCTGCAACAAATGATGAGGATGATGGGACGAAAACGAACAATCATGACGAAATCTCTAACGGGAATGATAGTTCGGTGAATGATAATGAGGGAAGACACGATAATATGGGGATACAACAAATTTGGCGAAAACGGGTGGATCTACCATCTTTCGAAGGTTTGGAACCTCACAGCTGGATTAATCGGGCAAAACGTTTCTTTCACATTCAGAAGGTGGCGGAGGAGGACAAGGTGGAGCTCACATATATTAGTATGGAGGGCATTGCGAGTTACTGGTTTAAATTTTTGAAGGAAAAAGCCAAGATTCGTTCTTGGACGGCCCTGAAGATAGCGTTAGTTAGTCGGTTTGGAGGGGGTTCAGGGGAACTGTATTTGAGCAGCTTGCGACACTGCGGCAAGACGGATAAGTGGAGGAGTACGTCCGGAACTTTGAAACACTAATAGGCCAGACTCGTGGGGTATTGGAGGAGCAGGTGTTGGGGTCTTTTCTCACCGGTCTGCGAGAAGACATAAAGGGGCAAGTTCGCATTCAAGATCCTCAAGAATTGATGGTTGCGATGAGGATCGCGCGGGATGTAGAAGACGCAACGATAAGAGTGAAAGGAGGTGGTTGGAACGGGTTCAAGGTTAACCTAGCGAGGTCGCGCATGACGGGGGCGGTGGTACGTTGCGATACCGAACGTCAATCCTTGAACCGGACAGGCGAAACAAAGTGTAATGGGCCAGCGAGGAGAGATGGAGTTATGCCGGCGAGAAGCACGAGAGGGACTCTGACCGGAGGGAGTGACAATCGGGGAAGGACAGTGTGAAACTTGCCGTACCCTGAATTTCTTAAAAGGAGAGAAGAGGGACGATGTTTCCGATGTGGGGTCCATTTGCACCCGGCCATCGCTGCTCGGAGAAGAGTTTGCGAGTGTTGTTGCTGGCGGAGGATGAGGAGGACGACGCAGACGAGGGAATAGACAAAAATCCGAAGCCTATGGAATTATCGGCTTGTTCCGCAGGAGGGTTAACCCAACCTAAAACGATGAAGTTGAAGGGAAAGATTGGCGACAGGGAGGTGCTGGTCCTCATCGACAGCGGGGCCAGTCACAACTTGATAGGTTCTTGAACTGGGAACCTAAGAAAGAACTCACTTCTCACCGCAAAACACAAAGAAAAGAGTGAAACTGAGTATTATTCACAGAAAGAATGTTCTATACAATCCGGATACAGAGGCTTAACCCTCTTCACAGGTCAAAACCTGTCAACAATGATCTCTCAAAACGTCCCCTCCCTAGACAACCATTTCCCTATTTAAAGACTCCTTCTAAACTGAACATAACACCCCACCAGGACAGTTATCCTATCCCCTGCTTCCTAACTGTCCTAACAGATTCCTCAACCCCTCTAAGAACTATATTTTATTATTGTCTTCCCTTCCTTCTAAGGCCCACATTCATATCCTATCACAACTTTATTAGCCGAAGGCTGGCAGAAGAGCTGAAGCTACCCATAGACGACACGTCCCCTTATCAGGTGAGTTTGGGGGATGGGTAGAGAAGGGAGACGAGAGGGTGTTGTGAGAAGGTAGCGATTATTCTGGCAGAGGCAGCGGTTGAGGAGAGGCTCCATTTATTCGAACCAGGCGGTGTAGATGTCATCTTGGGGGTTGAATGGCTAGCTAAACTGGGGGAGGTGATGATAAATTGGAAAGAAATGACCATGGGGTATAACTTGGAGGGTAAGAAGGTGAGGATACAAGGTGACCCAGCTTTATCTCGATAGCTGGTGGAACCTCAGGCTTTATTAAAGTTGACAGATGCTGAGTCATGGGTAATGGTTTGGGATCTGGGCCGAGTGGAGAAAGAGGTGGACGGTGAGGGGCCAGTTGACTTGATAGGTGAGCAGAAAGCAGAGTTGGAGGCAGTGCTTAATACCGAGTATTTCAGGAGGTGCAAGGCTTACCACCACCTCGTGATATGGAGCACTTAATTCCACTGAAGGAAGGGGAGAATCCAGTGAATGTACATCCCTACAGGTACCCACACCTTATGAAGGGAGAAATTGAAAGGCAGGTGGCTGATATGATGAAAGCAGGAATAATCAGACCAAGCACAAGCCCCTATTCTAGTCCGGTTATCTTAGTGAAGAAGGACAACAGTTGACGTTTTTGTGTTGATTACAGGTCTTTAAACAGAGCCACAATGCCGGACAAATTCCCTATCCCCGTAATCGAAGAGCTCTTGGATGAGTTGAGAGGAGCTACCTATTTTTCGAAGATAGACTTAAAAGCGGGCTATCATCAGATTAGAATGGGGAAGGAGGATGTACAGAAGACAGCTTTCCGGACACATCAGGGCCACTACGAATTTTTAGTGATGCCCTTTGGTCTCACTAATGCGCCATCCACGTTCCAAAGCGTGATGAATGGTCTCCTGCAGCAGTACCTAAGGAAGTTTGTACTGGTTTTTTTTATGACATTTTAGTATATAGTGCCAGTTGGGAGCATCTTGGGCATGTGGATCTGGTGCTAGGAGTGTTAGAACGAAATGACTGGGTAGCTAATGGAAAGAAGTGTGAATTCGGGAGAAGACAGATTAGATACTTGGGGCATCAAATTTCAGAAGAAGGGGTTGAGATGGACCCAGAGAAAATTAAGGCTGTCTTGGAGTGGGAAGAACCGAAGAGCCTAAAAGCTTTGAGGGGATTTCTTGGCTTAACCGGCTACTACAGACGTTTTGTACAGGGGTATGGAAAAATTGCAAAACCATTAACAGAGTTGTTGAAGAAGGGTAAATTTGTGTGGTCTGAACAAGCTAGAACCGCGATGGCAGCACTGAAGACTACTGTCACCTCTGCGCCAGTTTTGACTTTGCCTGATTTTAATCAGATATTCCATGTGGAATGCGATGCTTTAGGAGGACGGGTGGGGGCCGTGCTGACTCAGAACAGGAAACCTATTGCCTTTTTCAGCAAAGCCCTATCGGAGGGTTCCCTGAGTAAATCTATCTATGACAAGGAGCTAATGGCTTTGGTTCTGGCCATCCAACATTGGAGACCCTACTTGCTGGGAAGGAGGTTTGTGGTACATACTGACCAACGCAGTTTGAAGTATCTACTGGAGTAGAGGATCACAACCTACAGTCAACAAAATTGGATAGCCAAGCTAATGGGCTATGACTTGGAAATTGTATATAAGACAGGGAGTTCCAACAAGGTTGTTGACACCCTGTCCAGAAAAGAGGAAGGAGGTATGGAGGAAGCAGAATTGCAGGCGATCTCCAGGTCATACTGGCAGGACTTCCAGGAAATGTTGCGAAAGGTCGGAGAGGATGAATCGCTGAGCAAAATAATAGTAGATATCAAAAGAGATCCAAACTGTCATCCAGCTTATACATTGGAGAATAACAGACTGCATTACAAGGGAAGGCTGGTGATATCCGCCAACTCAGCCTGGATTCCCAAATTGTTGGCTGAGTTTCATGTGACCAACACAGGAGGCCACTCTAGAGTGTTTCGCACATATAGGAGGATAGCCCATGCTTTATATTGGATGGGCATGAAGAAGGCAGTCATGGATTTTGGGGCAGGATGTGTGGTGTGTCAGCAGCACAAATACATGGCTGCCTCGCCTCAGGGGTTACTACAACCCTTTCCTATACCCCAGGCAGTGTGGGAGGAGGTGAGCATGGATTTCATTGTGAAGTTGCCCAAGTCCCAGGGCTATGATGCCATCTTGGTGGTGGTAGATCGGTTGAGTAAATACGCCCATTTTATGGCGCTTAAACATCCCTACTCAGCTAGAACAGTGGCCGAGGTGTTTACTAGGGAAGTCGTCAGGTTGCACGGGATTCCTGTTTCGGTTGTTAGTGATAGAAATCCCTTATTCCTGAGCATATTTTGGAAGGAGCTTTATAACATGCAGGGGACCCAACTCAAGATGAGCACAGCTTATCACCCGGAGACAGATGGGCAAACGGAGGTCGTGAATCGAATTGTGGAAGAATATTTGAGGTGTTTTTGGTCGGAACAACCCAAAAGATGGAATGCAATGCTACCTTGGGCTGAATACTGGTACAATACAAGTTATCAGGGGGCCGCTAGGTGTACACCTTTCAAAACCGTGTATGGCCGAGCTCCTCTGTCTCTAAGTAGGTTTGTTCCAGGAGAGACACCGGTGGAAGCAGTAGCCCAAGATTTAATGACACGGTACGAGGCAATGAAGCAATTGAAATTCCATTTAAATCGGACCCGAGATTTAATGGCACAACAGGCAAACAAAAGGAGGAAAGAGGCGGATATTAAGGTGGATGACTGGGTCTATTAGACAATCTACCATACCTTCTTGACTGCATCCCAAGCTGGCAGCTCGTTATTTTGGGCCGTTTCAGGTGGTACAGCTGGTGGGGAAAGTGGCATACAGATTACGGTTGCCGGAATTAGCAAGGATACATTCAACTGTGGGGGAAAAGAAAGTAGAAAAAGATCTGCCAGCTGAGTTACAAGCAGATGGACCAACTTATTGGCCGGTGAGAATTCTGGAGAGTAGACAAAGGCAGCAAGGAGAAGAAATAATACAACAAATTTTGGTCGAGTGGCAGGAAAGAGGCAGAGAGGGCGCAACCTGGAAGACAGGGTGACTATCCAGGATCAATATCCGGAGTTCAATCTTGAGAACAAGGTTGTTGAAGGAGAGAAGGGTAATGTTAGGAGGTTAAGAGTGTATGAAAGAAGAAAGAAAAATTAGTTAGCCTAACTGCCAGGCAGTTAGGAAAGGCGGGAAGGGGTTGTATAAATAGGTCTTGTATAATTGTAAGGTGGGTCTTTGGATCAAGTATTAGTCTGACAGGAATTCTTTAATCCTGTAAGGGTGGAGGTTAAGCTCTCATAATTCGTTTTACTTTGTATTCTTTGCTGTGGATAATACAAAGAGAGGTTATACATTATTTCTGTTGAGTTTGTCTGGATGTGTTGGTGTGAGTTTCTATAGGTTTCTTGACCATAAACCTATCACAGTTTGTCATATTGATGATTGATATTTTTCCATTCATTTTATTGGTTGCTTTGTAGAAAGCTGAACAGATTGTAGTTTTACTGGTGTGTGATTACTGATTACTGTCTTTTGTATAGGCTGCTATGTAACATGACAATAAGTTGTTGATCATCAATGCTAGAAGATTAGTGGGAATTTCATTTTTCTTTTTTGCTGATGAATCAGAGATGAGGGTAATGGAAATCATGAATTGTTATCAAATTACCATAAATTTAAAGTTTGTCTAACTTTATTCGATTCATCCTTTGATCTGATACACTGCAGTCTAACAAGGTATTTGAAATCAAAGTGCCAGTTTTGTAATTAAAAAGTGAATACAGAAAAGAGAAATCCAAGTAAACATCTCCTAAAAGAACAAAATTTCCTTTAATCTGTGCAGTTTTTCCAGTTTCATGATTCAAGTATTACTATTATATCTTTGTTAACATGGCACAGAACTTAACAGCAATACCCTTAAGTTCTTTGTGGCATTTTTTCAAATCAAAAGTAGAGTTTTATCTTTTGTCTAGTGTTGCAGCTTTTAAAGGAGTATTTCATGATTTTTCAGGTTACGGAAGAGCTAAGAAAGAAACCTAGCGTTGTTCGAAGGTGAAAGCCTAAGGATAAGAGCATCCAATCCTATATCCTATATGTAAAAAATAAATGTAGCTTTCTTATCTTCTTATGGATATTTGATGCTCTAAATTAGCATCCTATTATATAAAGTTTAATTGCTAGAAATATATGATTTGTGTGTGTATTTTGTTATTTTAACCTAATAAATTAACAAGAACTTATTTTTAAAGAGTTGGAAATAACCAATTCTAATTATTATATTTCAAAGAAATGAATGGTAGGATATTTATATTATTGGAGTAACTTGATATTGTATTGATAAAAAACTATTTTTTTTTCGTATTTCAATTTTTATAGGTCGGAAGTTATTTGATTTTAGAATTAAAATATTATATTCATAGCTTGAAATGTTAAGTGAGATTTGGTTGAGATTTTGTTAATGTTGTTATTCTTATATTGACATATATTTGCTTCAGAAAATCCTTTGAAAAAAGTAGTAATACAAGTCATAAGATATTAAAAAATATATATCATGAAATGATATTACAAATAGGTTGTTTACTAATACCCACGAAAGGGATATTGAAGAGATATAAAAATATGAAATATGGTATTCTGTTCCTCTGCCTTCTATGTAGGGCTGGGCATAATTTACTGTTAATAAAGAGTATGTGTAGAAGATAGTATAGTAAGTGTACTATACATGCCCAAGGTGATCTGGTAAGGTACTCGAGATTATCTCGACATATATTTCTAATATCATCTCCCGCTACTATACCACCTAGATTATGATTAAAGATCAACCATAGAAATCAGATTTATAGTATACTTATGTCAATGGAGAAATGTACCAATGAAGGTGGATTCAACTTCAAGGACAAGGAAATGGTGTAAGTGTCCAAGATTTTTCATATGAAATGAAGCTTGTAATTGTTGTTTAAGTTCTTGGATGGATACTTGATCAGTGCCAGTAATAACCATATCATCAACATAAATAAGTAGAAGAGCAATGTCTATAGGTGTGCACGTAGGAAAAGGCAAGAGGCATAGCGTATGAGAAGAAGAGAAAGAAGACTAAAACACATTGGGTTTCAGTGATGCCACTTATTATGGTTATGGTGCTACCTTTCTTCCTCAGTTGGAATTATCTAAATCAAATGTCAGAACTTCCTCAAACCCTAATGGAGGGTTTAAGTCCTTATTGCTCATTTCTTGAGAGCTTGGGCATGTAGAGTTTGCCAAAAGAGAGCAAAATATTGATAAGGATAACATAGGTGTTCTTGTTGGGGACGCCCTTGAGGAGCATGCAACGAATGAGGGCGTAGGCAATATGAAAGAGGTGCTTGTGGTTGAGGGATTTGGAGAGGGGGTGTAGAGTGGGAGGTTAGGGATTCAATGAAAATGATGAGAATTTTAGTAAAAATTTAGAGGGAATTGGAAAATTAGGGAGTGGGGAAATTTGGGAGTTTAGATTTATTAAAAAATGGTAGTCATAAACATCATATTTTACATGCAAAATGTGATTATTAAAAAAAGATAGCTAAATCCGCTATATTTTGCATGTAAAATGTGGCAGTTCTCCAACTGTGATATTATGTTGTAAAAAGTGGCGATTTTAAACAACCATCATATTAAGATTGCTGCAATTTACACGATTTTTTGTAGTGAATCTTGCTTTGATAATCTTCATTGTAGAAAATGATCTTTATGATGAACTTGTAAAAATAGGAAAAGTTAATCTAAGACTAAATGAACTTACAATCAAGTAAAATGTCCTTGACTTTCCTTGCAAGAAAATTTGGAAGTTTAGATTTATTAAAAAAATGACAATTATAAATGCCATGTTTTAAATACAAAAGGTGGTGATTCAAAAAATGGCAGTTAAAACAGCCATATTTCACATGTAAAATGTGACAGTTCTCCAACTATCATATTATGCTAGAAAAAGTGACGATTTTAAACAACCATCATATTAAAATCACCACAATTTACACAATTTTTTGTAGTGAATCTTGTTTTGGTAATTTTTATTGTAGGAAATGATATTTACGATGAAGTTGTAGAAATAGGAAGTGTAACATCCCAAAAATACAGTTCAAAACTATATACTAGAATAATCACATTAATAATAATTCAGATCAGTATTACATTAGAGTCGAACGTACGCTCATGGATGAACGACCTTACAGAAAGAGTTACAAATTTAAGCCGTACAAGATAAGCAAACCTGACCGAACGGTTTACAAAAGAAAATATCGAACGATCATTCTTAACAAAAAGGAAGGTGATCGAACGACCACCTTACTATAATTAGACTATTGACCGAACGTCCTATTGTTCGGTCTTTACTTCAATTTCTTCCAAATTTTTTTCTTCTAGCGCCTCTTCCAACAGCTCGTCTTCTTCTGCTCACATCCACACGGATGATCATTGCAATGACAAGGACAGACGTACAAAACCAGACAACACAGGAAAACAAAGGGTAAGCTTATGTAATTTAATTCATGCATAAACATATATCTTAAACAATCCAACACACAAGAGATTTCAACGCACATATTATACAAAACCTATTACTAGACTGACTGTCCGGACTGTATGAAATTTGCGTAGCTACAGGCGTTCGTGCACCCGGATGATGTAGTAACTGAAATACTCTCATCAGCTGCCACTCGAGGTTAGTCCTATTTGTCCAAAGTACCCCTAAGGACTAGAACCTCCTGCCGTTCCCACACATGACCTACCCTCCTCTACGTGAGGACAAGTACTCACGAAACATCAGGATGAACCGCCAGCATTAGCATGACCACAGTCATACTTTACCAATTCCAATATTCATCCATGAGTCGTTCCTCCCTAGAACGCTCGTTCAAATCCACATCATTTCATTCATATCATATTCTCTTCCTATTTCATTCATAATCATTCTCAATTTCATCTTTCATTATCAGTTTTCTCAAATTCATCTTTCATTGCCAATAAGTTAAATTTCATCTTTGTTCAAAGATTCTTATAGATACTCGATACCGAACGTTCAATCCTTACTCAGAACGAGGACGAACACTTGGAACGAGACAGAGAAGTCTCCCGTTCCATAATAGAATAATACAGGGGTGACCACTATTGGGTTGAGAAAGAGACTGAGTATAATCATATATAAAACAAAAACGACTTAGAACAATCGTTAATTACAAAGTGAGTCAATTAGATGAACTGACCCTTGAGAGTTCTAACTGGACACAGAAAGAACTAGGCCAAATACTAAGGCTCTAGGCTGGAATCAAATGGACGTATACACTTCCAGACTTTCGGAGAAGAATACTTAGAAGGATTCACCTAAAGAAACCGAACGCTTATGAATATTTAGCTTATTTGAATTTACATCAAGAAATCCGAATGTCAGTCAATGACCGAGCACGGTAGAGAAGAAAATTCTATTGAAGTTAGACGAACACTATTTTCCATCAAGATAGATTATACAAGAAACGAGTACGAGCGCTTGGTGTAAGACTTATTATTACTTAGTACGAGCGCTTGGTGTAAGACCGAGCACTACTTAGTACGAGCACTTGGTGTAAGACCGAGCACTACTCAGTACGAGCGCTAGGTGTAAGACCGAGCACTAATGAACTTATAATAAGAGGCTTGATAAATATAGTCAGATACTATTGAAGTAGTGTTTACGAACAACGAAAATATACCATTACATATATATAAAAATTAAGTTATCACAAGATACCCAGATACAACTTTGCTTGGCCGAACGCTCAAGCATAGTATTACCACACGAGGACGCTCGTCCTCAACTAGGATTCTCTTCAAATGAAAGAATCCCATTTCAACTATGTTTACCAGAAGAACCGAACGGTCAATGACCGTTCAGTAACGAACGTACACTTTCATATGAGAAATTTCATATTCAGAATTCATTTATATCTGTCTCATTTCTTAACATATAGTTTCATAACTTTATACATTCATATCATAATCAACTTTCATACTTCATACAATCCATATCATATAAGTTTCATATATTTCATTCATTATAACATAACTCAGTCATATTTCATCTCCACTCATTAAATAAACGAACGTTCATGCAATCCAATCATATCAATCATCATGCATCAAAGTCATTCAGTCAATTAACGAATGTTCATACAGTACAATAGCATACAAATTAAATTAAATAAGCTTCCCTTACCTCTGAGCGTGACCGAATGTTCCCAGACGCAGAAATACAATTTCACCACAACAGGTCCTTCTACCGTCAACGCTCGACAATTCCAACTACACCAAGTGACAACCCGACACTATCAGAACCACTCATTTTGAGAATGGTGATTAACACACGAACCCAGAACTGGGTTTGCATGTTTAGGAAAATGAACGACAGAGCGAAGAGAAGGACTTACCAGCCCAGCTTCACAAACCGAACGGTTTATCTGGAAGCTCTTGACGCCGGAAGTGCTTCTATGGTGCCGGAATAGTGATCGGAGAAGAGAAAGTGAGTGTTTTCTCAAAAAGAAGATGAAGAGGATGTAGAGAGAAGGAGGAGAGAATGAGATTTTTCAGAAATTTTGAAAAGAGGGTGCATGCAGAGAGTGGGGTAGATTTTCTGAAAATCCAAGTTTTGCTTCACACTTCAAAACGGACGTCCCCTTATCTGTCGACACCTGCTTTCCACTACTGATTTTCGGATCCTCTTCGCTTGACACTTGGGGTCCGTCATCTGAGTGTCGAGCCTCCCTCTTGACACGTGAATTCCACTAAACGATACGTGCGTGGATTTTACTGGTTCTGACAGAAAGAATTAATATAAGACAAATTAAACGCTCAATCGAATATAATGTGCTTGAGTTTCTTGTTCTTGCCAAAGATTGACATAATCCAAGCATGGTTGATAAATTCATAAAATTTGGATACTCTAGCTAAGAAGGAAGCATTTTAAACCAATTAGATTCAAATCTCATTGGATGTTTCTCCTAAAAAAAGGATAGTTTTGAAGTTGTATTTGATATGAAACCTATTTTAAATATGCTCTTCTAAATTCATCTCTTTGACTAATTGGGTATTGTCATATTTGAGCACATTTTCTTGGATCACATCTCAAAGAATTAATATGAAACTCGTTGCATGTAATTCTTTGACCTTACAAAAAGGCTTC